TACTGTTTATTTCCGAATAAAATATCAGAGTTGAATTATTGTTTATTCCAAAAATCTAGTCTGTTTACCACCAAGTAAAAATCCTGATAACTTGTAAAAATTCTGTTACTTGTAAAAGTTATGGTCCGTTTACCACCAAATAAATCTCTCTTGTTGCAGATCGTTTATTGAAGCAACTGAAACAACTGAAGCAGTTTGCTAAGTTCTTCGAGCTTCGCCTCATATCTAACCTGCCTTGACTCATGGATATAAGAAAGAAACTGCATATTTTGGTACATTTTGTTTTGATTATATGATACTATTGAATTTATGTTTTGATTAATGTGAACTTAACTTGGTTTTACTTTAACTAGATGAATACCTATGGTATGCGTGAGTTTGTTTTGAAAATTTTTAAGAACAAATTATGTTAATTATTTTTGTTGCTAATTTATGTTTATTTTTTTGTTTTTCATTGTATAGTTAATAAAATTAGATCCATGTAAAGTAGTTACAATTTTTATGGTTAAATTCATTTTTAACTCGAAATATCAATTTATACATTTTCATGTATAAATCTGATTATTTATATATCTAAGATCCTAATTTTGTTTACTATCGTGAATACTTACAACAACAATATAGGATATTTTGATATAATTATATGTAATTATGTTACTTGTGTGATTTAAAATTTGCCTCACTTGATTATAATTAAACAATTCATTGTTTTATATACTCTCATAATCTAGTACTCCAGCGAGATCTTGATAAACTCATAATTAATTATTGGAGTGACATAAATGGAACAAAGGCTCAAGAGTTTTCCTATAATAAGAAAAAAAAAAGCAAAAACTAAAGTGTCATTTAAGTCAACAATTTCAGATCTTCTGCCATTGCATATAGCTATATAAGAGAAATGATCGTCTCTTGAATTTCTTGGTACGTATAACGTCTCAAATGCCCATTACTTGAAAAACTTGCATGTCAATGTAACCAATCTACCATAAGACACAAAAATGAAAAGATAGAAAGCCATATGAAAAGATGTATTTGAACAAGAAAACGTAATAATGAGAAAAAAGTCGAAGTAAATTTACTAAACTAATAAGAGGTTAGGTAGCAAACAACTAAACTACAACACTAATAAATTTTCAGTCATAATCGAAAGTGATTACTGATAAAAACAATTTAGTAAAATAAGATGATTAAAATGAGAGTAGTGTTTGATTTATTAGCGTAATTTTATAATTCTCATTTTATTTTAAAGAAATAAGTTAAAAATATGATTGATAGAGGATTTAATGCAATGAAGAACTTTTAATTTTTTTTTTCATTTAGTTTGGCTAATTTTTTATTTAAATAATATAGAATGACACATATCATTTTCTTGTGTGATGATGTGACACTCATATGGAGAGAATCGGCCAACTTTCATATATGTGATTTTTCAGGTCTGGTTTTTTTTTCGTTCTATCAAAGTTATTTAATCTCTTAGTTATGGTTCTAAGTTACATGGCCCTAGAATCTTTTGTGTATGACCTCATAGATAGAATAGAACCTGCAAAGAAACTACAAGGGAAAGCGAAGAAGGAAGCTGTGTAGAAGAAGGCTGAGAAAAAGCTATAGGCCGAGAGAGCTGCAGAAGAACAAGGCTGAGGAGGTGGGTGGTGTTTGGGATTACTGGAAGGAAAGAGTGGCCTGTGTTGTTTGTTTAGCCATAGGTTTGGGTGTTAAATAGCAATACAAACACTTCCAGTGCCGGCTCAGGGCAGGCGATGCGAAGGCCGGGGGCCTAATCCCGTGTTCCAATAATTACGAGCCCATTTTTAAAAATATTTTTATAAAAGTATTAAAAAATTAAATTACAACATAAAAATAAAATTTAGAAGGGCCCGTAAAATATTTTATTTCTTGTTTTTAGTATTAATAATTAATTTTTTAATAAATAATATACAAATATTTTTTTTCAGCAAAAAAAAAACACTAAAATAAAAATTCTAAAGGCCCAAAATGTTTTTTGCCTTATGGCCCATAAAAGTGTTGAGCCGGCCCTGTCCACAATTTTAAAGTTTTCAAAATATGATAAGTGTTAAGAATCCATCTCATTTGAATGCACCCTAGAATAGTAGAATATACATGTAAATATATGTCCAATTCCCACGTGACAAGACGATTAGAAAATTGGATCTTGCAGTTATGGAGGGAAAATAAAATTTTTATTGCTGCTTACATGATAAAATCTTAGATTTCTTGCTTACATAAGAAAATATGGTCATTTATTGATACAATTTCCGATTTATTGCTTATATAATCAATCTAATTAAATTCCAATTAAGAAAATTTGTTGGCAAAGACTGATGGAATTTATTTTAACATATTGCGTTGGACTTTTTTTTTTGCAACTTTTCAAATTGAAATTCATTTTGAAAGAAAATTGAATGTCGAAAATTGTTTGCTTTATGGATTTTTGTATCTTACTTCTAGTTTTTACCATTATACATTGAAATTATTAAATTTTAACACACCGTAGAAATCTTGGTCTTACAGGTGACTCGTATGTTGAGGTTTCATTTCATAATGACTTTTTATGTTAAAAACAAGAATAAATATAATAAGAGTAATACATTTTTTTCCTTTAAATATAAGGAAATATATGTTCATCCTCTATTTTATATCTGATTCCTACTTGTCTCTAGAAAAACAAATATTCTTAGCTTTCAGATGAGATAAAAGATATTTCAATTTTATCATATGCGAATAAGAATCGGGTATCGTATATCAGTTTTATCAACTACTTACTCGTCCTGTATTCGGTGGTATCTGGACAGCAATGATAAAAATGATTCTAAACAAACATCTTGAAAAACATGATAGCTTATGTATTTGAGAATTTTAACATTTGTTGGAAGAGTTCTGATCACCAAATTTGAAGATGTAGTTGTCACAATTTGAATCTTGCACTTTGTGATATGTCAACCACTTATTAAAAGACAATCTCATTTTTTGAAAATTTTTAGCATACTTATTGCTTTGTTAAAAAAAAAATCAATTAAGCGGCATAAAATATTTGAAGATCACGTGGATGGTTAACACTTAAGCATTTATCTCTTATTCGTTGGGAGAGCCATGTTGAAATTGTTGATTCAATACGATTTTGGGCTCCTAAAATCAAGAATGTGCTAGTGTACATTACTAAAAATAGTGATGATACGAAAGAGCAGAGTAACACTGAATGTCTTGCAACAAGTGAAACACAAAGAATTGGAAGTTATGAATTCTAGGTATCCGTAGTTATTTGATATAAACTTATATATGTTGTTAACATTGTGAGTAAGAGTTATAGTAAAAAAAAACATGAACATTAATGTAGATATATCTCAACTGAAGTGGTTGGTTTCTTATTTATAAAAATATAGATATTCAGGCTTTGAGAAAGCAAAAGCATATGCTAATAAATTGCAAAATATATGGAGATCGATCTTATATTTCTCAAAAAAGGAACGCATATGTTTATAAGTGAAGGTTTGTGTCTCATAATGCAAGTTTGAGATTACACTAAGTATAGAGAAGACTCTAGAAGGAGGAGAGGGTTTCAGTCATAGCAGTTTTGACTCGGGCACGTGTGAGCTTACACATGCGAGATGGGAGTTCTAGAAGCTGTTATAAATGCTCTTTCTCTTTATTGTTAATCAGTATCTTTTACACTTCTCAAGTTGTTGTAATCGTAACAGAATCGGAAGCTCAAAAGCTCTGACTAAAGAAACACCGATCTAGTGAATTCCGGAGAGAATCTCCGGCCAGACGTAGGCTCCGGTTTGGAGCTGAACTTGTTAAAGTCTCGTGTGTTCTTTACAGTCTTTTCGTATTCTTTTTTTAGTGTGTTTGAGAGTGATCTATCGAGAGAGATTCAAGAGTGAGTTGAGAGTTAGATCGGATCAGATCTAAGACGAATTCGTACAATAAGAAAAAAAAATTATGGTGAAGAATCAGAGAATGTCGAGGGAAGTGTGACATTATTAGTCGAAGAGAGGTTTCAGGTCTACTCCACTTGAGACGAAATTTGAGTAATTTCAAAGGTATGTAAAAATATTTTTTTTTGTTTGATTTCAGGAAAGTGCAATTAGCGAGTGATGATAGTTTGATGTCTTTTTGTGCCAATTATTCTTTAACCCATGGAAAGCATTTAGATGTTGTTAAAAATGATCTTTTCTTTGAACTTAATTCTAAGAAGGTTTACATAAACAAACTAAAAGACCTATTGAAATATTAGAATATTTGAATGTAGTTGAATATTTTTCCAAACTCATGCATCACTTATCAAATACTGTTGACGATTCTAGTTTCAGGGCCATCTGTTGAAAGAAGTTTCTCAACGTCGATTTTGATGAAATCATATTTTCGTTCGAGTATGTCACAAGAAAGATTGAATGGCTTGGCTATTTTCTTCATCGAAAGAGAATTGGTGAGAAACGTTATTTGTGGAGAACAAGGGAAAACAAAAGTTTAAAAACCAATATTTTGTTTGCTAGTTTGTTTCTTTCTTTGGTTATGTTATTTGATGATAATAATGTTTATTATTGTAGACGTTTTTGTTTTAGTATTTGGATTAGGGTATTTACCTTTTAATCGCTTCTGATATCCGTTAGCATTCACGCGGCTCTGAATCTAACCACTAAAAATGTTGATTAAATTTTTTGATTTTATATTTGCCGAAGTTTGGTCTCATAGCAAGATGATAGATTAGTTATAGTGTTCTTATGCGTTTCTCAAATTAGAAATTATTGTGTTTCTCCCAAGTTTAGTTCGCGGCAAAATCTGACTAATTAGATTGTAAGAAATAAACGTTTAGGTTTCTGAAAGTAGTTTCAATATCCCTCTGAAATTTATATTCTAGAACATAGGAAAAAAAGCGAGATAAACTTGTGTAGCTACTTAAATATCTTATGTTGACCTCGAGGAAGGAAAAAAAAAAGGTGAGTAACGAATTACTTTTTGAGAAAATCAAATATGCCCACCGAAACATAGAACATATTTTTTTTTTTTTTTGAACAAACTTAGATTAAACCGAAACAGAGTTACACTCTACAAAGAGAGGAAGTTTATGCTGCCACAAGTGCAGACTTTGCAAGAGAATCAGCTACAAGATTGCCCAATCGTGGCACAAAATTGAAGTTGATTGAAATAAATGATTCACTAAAACATGTGATATCATGGAGGATTGCTTTTAGCTCCTTAGAGTGAGCTTTAGCGTTGATAGTGGAGATGAGGATTTGTGAATCCGAGAAGATCTCCAGTTTGCGGATATGGGAGAGAGCAGAGTTCCTGCAGAGGCTTGACAGGGCACTTCTCATCGCCAGGGCTTCCGCAGTGAGGGCAGAGTGCACCCATGGTCGAAAGGAAGAAGAGCGGATAGGAGCATCTCCCCTAGGGTCAAATATTATCCATCCCTGGCCACAGAGTTTCGAAGTTCCACACCAGGCAGCATCAACAAAACATTTAAAAGCATCCACTGGAACTACCTTAGTTGCTGGGGAGGGAAGATTCTGTGGTAGGCTTGGAATGGATAACTGAGCCGCTTGCCAGTCACCGGCTTCTTTAATAGCTTTGTGGATGATGTCATGGTGTGACAAAAGCCTGTCCTCGAAGATACAGAGGTTCCTAGCCTTCCACAGGTTCCATAAGATCCAAGGAGACAGGGGAGTCAAGGAGACCCCTGTGGGAGGCAGAGCCTTCACCTGCAAAAAAGAGCTGAGCATAGCTTTAAAGGACTAGAAGGAACCCGCCCTCAGTTGCAGGCTCAATGGAGCAATTTCCCACACTTTTAGGGCAAAGGGACAGTTCAGAAAGCAGTGCAATTCATCCTCCCGTGCCCCACACCTTTTACACTCAATAGAGCTCAAGAGACCCCTCTTAGCAAGGTTACTGCCTAGAGAAAGAGCCCCACTCGCTGCCTTCCAAAGGAAGTTTTTTAACTTTGGGCTCAGCTTCAGGTTCCAAATGGTCTTGTTCCAATTAAAGGGTAGAGAGGGCTGTTGCGAGGCTGTAGGGCTACTTGGAGTCTTCCTTGCGACAAGATAACCAGATTTTGTTGTATAAAGGCCTGACTTTTCAGGGAGCCAAATCAGCGAGTCTTGCAGGGGCAAGGAACTGGTATTGATAGCTAGAATAGCTTCCTCATATTGAGGTAAATGGTCTCTAATAGCAGCAGGGTTCCACTCTCCAGAAGAAGGGCAGAGTAGGTCCTTGACAAGCAAAGAGGAGTCAGATAGAGATGGGGGACCAATAGGTTGCATAGGCACAGAGAGGGACAGCCATGGGTCATGCCAAATCCGCACCAAGCTGCCATCACCTATGGACCAACCAAGACCCTTACGAAGGAGGTCTCTGCCTAACAGAATTCCTCTCCATCCATGGGAAGCAGTTGAAGGAGAGGGGCAGTCCAAGAAAGAAGAGGAGTGACAATACTTCCCCAAGAGAATCTTAGCCAGCAGGGAGGTAGGGTTGGTTAGAATCCGCCAGCCAATTTTTGCTAGGAAAGCATCATTGAAGGCTTCCACGTCCTTAAAGCCAAGCCCACCATCGAACTTTGGTAGAGTGAGTTTATCCCATGCAACCCAACTCATTTTTCTTTTCCCCGGTTTATCATCCCACCAAAAACGTGTAAGAGCGGAATGAATTTGCTTACAAAGGGAGCTAGGGAGCTTGAAGCAAGACATTGCATACGAGGGCATCGATTGGAGAACCGCTTTGAGGAGCACTTGTTTTCCCGCCCCGGAAAGGAATCGAGAGGACCAACAACTAGCCTTTTGTCGAATCTTGTCCACAATATTAGCGAAGATGTCACGCTTCTTTCTACCAAAATGCTCGGGAAGCCCAAGGTATTTACCAATACCTCCTTCTTGGTTGATCATGAGGGCTTGTTTGACTCTAACTTTTGTTTCCCCGGAAGTTTTAGAGGAGAAAGTAATCGCTGATTTAGAGAGGTTTATGCATTGACCCGAAACCTTCTCATATAGAGAGAGGATCTTAGAGAGCTCCGCACAACACTTTGGATTTGACTTGCAAAAGAACATTGTATCATCCGCGAAGAGGAGGTGGTTGATTGGTGGGCTAGCTCTAGCAACCTTGATCCCGGGAAGGGTCCCTTTCATTTGAGCCTTTGTACATAACCCCGAGAGTACCTCGGTACAAAGAATGAAGAGGTATGGTGAGAGCGGGTCTCCTTGTCGGAGTCCTCTAGAAGGAATCACTTGGCCTTTTGGTGAACCATTGATGAGAAACTTGTAGGACACGGAAGTCACACAAGCCATAACCCAAGAAATCCACCTCTCATGAAAACCAAATTTTAAAAGCACTTCCCGGAGAAAGCCCCATTCTATGCGATCATACGCCTTGCTCATGTCCGTTTTAACGGCCATAGAACAATATTTTTTGGCCTCCGAGGTACGAAGAAAATGGAGAACCTCATGCGTGATGAGCACATTATCCGCAATAGCTCGGTTTGGAACAAAGGCCGATTGGTGAGGGGAGATTAGGGACGAGAGGATTGGTTGAAGCCTCTTTGTAAGAATCTTGGCAATGATCTTATAGTGCACATTACAAAGGGCAATAGGACGATAATCACCAACCTTTCTCGGAGCAGTCCCTTTAGGGATGAGTCTCACGTGAGTTTCATTATGCCTAGAGTTTAGGTCACAATCTTCAAAGAAAGCTCTAATTTCATTAGATACATCATTGCCAATAATATGCCAATAAACATGATAGAACTTAGAGGAGAAGCCATCGGGGCCGGGAGCTTTACTAGCGTTGATTGCAAAGACTGCCTCTTTAATCTCAAGATTGGTGGGGATCGCAATAAGGGAATCATTCATGAATTCATCAACTTTTGATTGGATAACATCTCCAACAGTTTGGAAATTAGAATTGCCATTAGTGGTGAAGATTCCTTGGAAGACCCGGGAGACAGTGAGAGCAATCTGATCCTCTTCAAAGAACTCAGCTCCCTGTTCATCCTCAATGACAGAGAAGGCATTACAGGCTCTGCGTCCTCTGGTGACTGCGTGGAAGAAAGCCGTATTCTTGTCACCACATTGGAGCCAACTGATTCTGCTCCTTTGTCTCCAATAGTTTTCCTCCTCCTTGTATGCCAGCTCTAGTTGCTTTGTCAGAACATCAATCAGGACCTGATCATGAATAGGAGAAGAAAGAGCCTTTTCCAGGTCCAATTGGTTTTGTTTGATAGCTTTATTGCTATTTTCATGGTTAACCTTCAACCATTCAATAATCTTACTGCGGCAGAGATCCAGCTTTGGAATTGTTGACTGAGACTGATCCAGGGACCAAGCTTCATGAATTAGGGTAGCCACTTCAAGTTTCTCTGTAAGGCTGCGATCAAACCTGAACATTCCTTCTCTTTTGCGTGTGGAGTCGTTGAAATAAGTGACCAAAGGTCTGTGATCTGAGCCCTCAAAACGGAGGTAGCGGCAGCGCCCTGTAGGGAAAGACTCCATCCAATTACAGTTAGCCATAGAGCGGTCAAGTCGAGATTGAATGAAGTGAGAGTATCTGGTTCCTCTCCAAGAAAGAGGATTTCCGGAGTGTTTTACATCCCAGAGGCCCTGCTGAGAGACAAAGCAACGAAAGGATAAGAAAGACCCTTCCCATCGGGGAGGACCTCCCACTTTCTCGCTATTATCTAAAATATCATTAAAATCGCCTGTAAGCAGCCAGGCACTTGATTTGGAAACCCCAAGCTCAGTCATCGCCTTCCAATACTCCGCTCTGTTTTCCATTTGTGGTGCTCCATACACAAAGGAGATATCTGAGGAGCTTTTTTTAAACTTGACTCTGGTATCCACCAGATTTGCAGAGGAAGAGAGAATAGAGAGCTCTACTCCATCCTTCCACACCAGCGCAAGCCCACCACTTAGGCCAATCGGCGGGACAGAGAACAGGTGCACAAAACCCAACTCCAACAGGGTATTAGTGACAGTAGTGTCATCATTCTTCGTTTCCATGAGGAACAAGATATCCGGAGAGATAGTGCGGTGTATCTCTTTGAGCCGGTGAACTGTCAGGTTGCTCCTCAACCCTTGACAGTTCCAACTGACTAAAACATAGAACATATTTAAAAGCTATAAAACTATCATCAAAATACACAAACTTCTAGAAATCATATAGCATGACAAGCTATATAGCATACATGGGCATTCCATTCTAAGTCCAATAATGTTCTTGATATATGCCTAATAAAAAGTTTGACCATCATGAGTGACTCATAGATCCAAACATCGAACCTGATCATCCTGACTTTAAACTCCTACATAAAATCTAGTCATCGTGACTCGTAATTCCACCCATCTTATACTTAATTAACATCATATACAAGATAAACTTTACCTATTATATGCAAATAACCCGTTTTGTGATATACTTCTAGCAATCATATATCATAACAAGCTATAACAATTTGATAAGAAAAAAAAGAAAAACATGCTATAACATACATGCCATTCCATTATAAGTCCAACCATCATGATATGAACTCTAATAAAAAAATGAAATATTTACTCAGATGTTAACCAAAAGTTCGAATATTACTAGAATATCATACATTTTCTAAAAATTACTCATATGTTTTGAGCATTTGTGTAATTACAATTAACACCCTTCATTAGTTTTTTTTAATTAATAATTTTTAATTCGTTTTTAATTAAAAATAATAAATAAAAATTTGATTATCCATGTCATTAATCCACATCACCAATCTCACACTCTTCAAACTCACGTTATTTCTCCTCTTCTTTTTTTTGTCTCCAAATCCAAGAAAAGCTTTTAGATCATTTCTCCTCTTCTCTTTTTTTTGTCTCCAAATCCAAGAAAAGCTTTTAGATCTAATAATCTGCAACTAACTTGGGTACAACATTGACAGAGATCTTCAAATTGCAGGATTGGGCTGGATCTTCCTAGACCTCACAGCCACAACGCTTGCCATAGGGTCCCAAATCAAAAGCTTCGTCAGATCTACTCGCAACCACGCTCACGAAAAAAGTCATCAAAAATCAAAACCCAAAACAAAGAGATCTATGGAATTCTACATGATTCGTTACAGGTTTGAGTTGAAATCAAGAATAGCTACTCTTTTACTTTGATTTTACATGTCTCTCGTTTAATCTTCCTCTCAATCGATCTATTTGGAGACATTTCTACTTCTATCTATGTTTTGATTCATACGGTTTAGTCTTCCTCCTATGTATCCCTCAAACATATTTTTACGAATCTTAATTTGATTGTTGTTATTTGACCAATAAATTTCATATTGTCTTCTCCAAAAAAATGTTGTTTTCCGATCTGTATTATAAATCAGCCGTAAAGTGATGTAACTCAGCCGTAACGTGATGTAACTCAGCCGTAACGTGATGTAACTCAGCCGTAACATATAATTAACACAACCTTTCGTCTTCCCTGAATGATAACTCAGCCGTGACATGTAATTTACCGAACCTTTCGTCTTCCCTAAAGCATATAACTCACCCGTAACATATAATTTACACCCATCTATCGTCTTCCCTGGAGAATATAACTCAGCCGTGACATGTAAATTTACCGAACCTTTCGTCTTCCCTTAAACATATAACTCAGCCGTAATGTAATTTTACCAAACCTTTCGTCTTCCCTGGAACATATAACTCAGCTGTGACATGTAAATTGACCAAACTTTTCGTCTTTCCTTAAGCATATAACTCAGCCGTAATGTAATTTTACCGAACCTTTCGTCTTCCCTGGAACATATAACTCAGCCGTGACATGTAAATTGACCGAGCCTTTCGTCTTCCCTTAAGCATATAACTCAGCCGTGACATGTAAATTTGCAGCGAAACAATAAGAGACGCAACATTTCCTCTAACTTTATCATCGAGCACCAACTTCACAAGTTTTTCGTGCGTTGTTTTCGCATCTATCTGCACAACTCTACACCCTCTTTCATCGGTGTTAAATACGTATTTGTGTTTTTATACCCAATTACCGGAACCGGATCAACCATATCGGGAGAAGGATGAAAGAAATTGAAGAAGAATGAGGAAGACGATGAGGAATTGGAAGTTCCGGTGATGTGATAAACTCAGGTGAAGAAGACGAGTTGAAAAAATTTGGCCCTATTTTTTTGTCCTTTGATGATGATGACATGGAATGTTGCATCCACGTCATTTTTTAATTGATGAAGTGGCAAGTAAGCCACCAAACGAAAATGTAAATCAGCTTAATTAAACCAGCCATCAAACAAAACTTTAACTCAGCCGCAACATGAATACTATTACAGTAATTAAAAAACGAAAAAACGGCAGCCAAATTCAGCCGTTTACTGTCGTAACTCAACCAAAAATATTTAACTCAGTCGTGTCGTTTAATAAGTCGGCCGTCATTGCATGCTATTCTAGTAATTAATCTTTCGCTACTAAGTCAGCCATAATAAGGCCGAGTTTTCCGTTAATCCAGCTCATTACGGCTGATTTATGATACTCAAACATAAATCAGCCGTAACGTCATCCCATAACTAAGCCGTCTTTGATAACTCACCCAGCCGGAGAAAGTTAAGTCAGCCGTGTCGAAGCAATAACTCAGCCAAAAATTTGACAAATCAACCATCGGGTGAAAACTCAGCCGTAACTTAGGCTGGGTTATGCTCGAAAGTCAGCCATTTTATCATAACTCAGACAGATTTCAGTAAGTCAGCCGTAACTCCAGGCTGGGTTATACTCGTAAGTTAGCCGTTTGCTCATAACTCAGCCATTTTTCTTAAATCAGCCGTAACATACCGTAACTCAGCCGTCACTGCCGCTATATCGCTCGACGGCTGAGTTCATTAATACACGTCAGCGATTTCTGACGTGGCGACGCGGCTTTGCTGACGTGGCAGTGGCATTCTTTGTAATTACGTTTTTTCCTGTAACGTTTAACAGGGGCACGCTGGGTATAAAAAATATACCCGAAATATGATAGTAATAAAAAAAAGATCTGTATGTTTCTGGTAATTTCATATAAAATGTATAACATCTGAGTAAATCTCCCTAAAAAAATTGACCATCCTGAGTGACTCATAGCTCTAAACATTGAGTGTGATCAGCTAGATAAAGTTAAGTCATCATGACTCTTAGCTCCATCCATCCTTAAACTTAATTCTTCCTGGTACATTCATTTGCTCATACTTAACATCGATATACAAGATAAGCTTTATCTATTATAGCCATATTAAACTTAATTCTTTCTTCTACATACATTTTCCCATACTTAACATCTATATACAAGATAAGCTTTATCTAGGATATACAAATAACCTGTTTTATCATATTTTCTTTTGAGGCAAATAACCCAATAAATATCTTAGAAAAATTTTCTATAATAGAAAAACACAAATTATATATATTTTCCGAAAATATACCACCTAATAAAAAAATTCAATATAATTAGCAAAATTTCATTGATTTTACACACTCAATTTCACAAATAATGAAAAATTTAGAAATACTCTTAGTCACATCTCATAATTATTTAATAATGTATAAAATTGAAAATAAAAATTTATGAAAAATAACGAAATCAATAATAATAAAAAATCAATCAAAACTTCTTATGGCAAAAACCGTCCATAACGACGGCTTCTCTCCTCTTGAACTCCATGATCACGTTGGAATCTAACTCCCAATGAAAGAAATCTTCGGAGAAAAACGGCTCCAAACTCAGTTTTTATTGATCTATTTATTTATATAATTGTTATTTTATATTTATATATTTTTAATAATTATTCGAGATAGCTAAGGTTTTCCGTTTGGAAATTTCTTTTTGGTGTATTAATCAAATCCAAGGTAAAAAAGTTAAGGCTTCTCCTCTCTTCTCTCTCTAAAATCTTTCAGAGTGGAGAAGCTTACTGTCGGTCGGTTTTTTATTCCGGATTTGTCCGGAGTTGTATTAACTCTCGTCTATGTACGAGTTAAATAATTTCGAGTTTTATATTGGATTCTCGCTACCGAATTCGTCGGGTTTTGTTTCTCGCTCTAGCAAGATTGATCTCTTTTCCAATTGTGCCCGTCGATGTCTCTGTTTTCTTCAAAATCCTATATGATCCCTCTAATCTTTTCGAAAAGTAATATCTTCGTCTCTTCTTTTTGCTCATGAAGTAGGAGCAAAGATCAGACTACATAGAGTTTGGGTGTGGTCAGTTCATGAAGTAGGAGCAAAGATCAGACTACATGGAGTTTGGGTATGGTCAGTGGTGGGGCTTCTCCGGAGTTGGTGTTGCTCAGAGAAATTCGAAGCGGTTTTCTTTTATTCGATCCGGAAGATTCTCGACGCTTTTGGCTTGGATTTTAGATCGGCATAAGGGAGGAGGATTCTCATTGCTCCAAGGTTGATCGGTGGTGGCTAATCGGAATTTCAGCGGTGTTCGACGAAATTGACGGTGGTGCTCGATGACTTGACGTGTAGTGTTGGGAAGAACACGTCTTCCACACGTGTCAACAGCTAAATCATATTCGCATTAATATTTATCTTTTATTAAAGTATGATTTAGTTTTGGGCATGGGCTGTTATTTCGTTTGTAATCCTCTGTGTTGGATCTTCTGTAATCTGCCCTTTTGGGCTTTATCAATGAAATCAAATGGCCAACAAAAAAAAAAAATCAAATCCAGCTGCTGGTCGTTTCAATTGGTGATATAAAAACTTAAATAATAATATATACATTTTTTGTTTAGAAAAGATATATGGGCCCATAGTAGTTTGATTTTTTGAGTATTATCAACCCATTTAGAGAATTATTATGAAACTTTTTTTGCTGAATTGTTTCTTTACTATTGATGCTAAATAATGAGGAAAAATAGATATTGGTCAGATTTCTTTCTTTACTATAGATGCTAAATAATGAGGAAAAATAGATATTGGTCAGATTTCTTTTGTTACTATAGATGCTAACAAATCATGATAAACAAAAATTTCTGTCAATCGCTTTGCAAGGTATAAAGTAAATGAAAGAACATCAAAAAGTAAATTCACAATTTGTATACAAGTAGTAGAGGAAATGGTTTCTTTCTCTGATTGTTTCTTCGTTCTTCAAGTGGCTTTTTTGTTACAATTTCTCGTAGTTTCATCTTCGACCTTGAACTCCACAAAATACATCGATAAATTATGCGAGATGCCATCCATCGACGACAAAGCCTTTTGTTTGCAAACGTTGAGCGCATATCCTCTTGCCGCTTCTGCCACTGGCTTGGTATTAATATCAAACCCACATATCCAACTTAAATTAGTTTTCTTTTCTTTTTTTGGACTAAAATATTTAATTTTTGCATAGCATATTTTAATTTTATGTTTTATATCATACGTTTACAAGTAGGGGTTGTTAATTGAATTTTCGAACTTATATTTTATGTATCATCTTTATGTAAACATGTGCATAATATATAGCAAAATCAAATTTATGAATGATGAATGTCGTGAAATGTTAAAAAGTTGTGAAACAATTATCACAGCTTAACATTTAAATTAGATATACTATAGTGATCACAATGGCAATTATGTTTTTGACTCGTTCTTAGTATCAAATATTTAGCAATAATATGCACATTCCAGTTTAAAAACTATATCTCTTAATCTACAGCTCCCACTTGCGGAAGTCGTGATCCGCGGCATTGACATACCCTATGCCAAGTTGTTGGTGAAATCTGCAGACAGAGCAGCAGAAAAGGTACCGGCTCTGAAGGAACAGTTCAAGGCGTGCCGAGATGCCTACTTTCTTATAGTAATGTCTCTCAAGAGTGCTGCTTCAGAACTCAAGATATCTCCAGAAACCGCTAACTATGATGCTATGGTTTGTTTCGACCAAACAACCCTAGTGCAGAAATTGATCGGGAAAAACAAAGACTTGACTTCGAAGAGTCTCATGGAGATGACATTGCGTATGGATAAGCTCATTCGTCTCGCTATTGGAGCCACCGAAGTTGTTGGAGGATGAAGACAAAAGAAGAGAACATATACCATTATGCTTGTCTCAATATATGATTGAAGACTATTTTAATATATGATGTGTATCGTTCCAATTTTATTGGATGTCCGGAAAGGACAAATATATGATCTAATTACAAAAATATTCAACCTTTTTTTTATTGCAAATTTTGAAAAGTACTTAATTCTGCCAAGGAGATTTATCGGATTTCAAAGAAAGAAAAATCAAATGAATTTTATCATGAAGAAGAAAAATACTACAGAGAGGCTTTTTGTTTCTTTCAATATAGAGACTGAACAAACGGAAAAGAACAAAATAAAAACAAGTTTTTTTACAGAGATAAAATTTTATCATAAAATTAGTGTCCCAAGAATTAAATAAAACCACCTAAATAACTCCATTCGATTTACATTGTTGGGGTCGGATTCCACCCTTTGGCGCCGAGCCAGACTTAGAGCACCTCGGGGACGTTTCAGAGATCACCTCGGGGCATCACATCATCCACCTCGGGTTATCCATCTAATCAGTTTAGGGTACCCGAGCCCGTCGCCTCGGGGGTACCCGGGCCCGTCGCCTCGGGGGTACCCGAGCTCAGTCACCTCGGGGTACCCGACCCTAGTCGTCTCAGGTACCCGAGCCGATCTCCTCGGCGCCTCGTCATCCTGCCCCGAGCAAAACACACCGATCGTCACCAGGCAGCCTCCAAGCCACCCGAGGCAAAGTCATCAGTCACCCCGAAGTGAAGTTCACAATCACCCGAGGTGGAAGTCCTCTTCATCACCCGAAGTAAAGACTTAGTGAATAAATACCGCTGAAGTATCTTAACAGCATTTCCGGAAAAGAAGGATCATTTCCGATATACCCGGAAATGATAAAGGAGAATCTTCGAAGATCGACTCAAATCAGGAAATCTTCCGAAAAGCTCCGAAGAATAAGGAAAGTATCCTCATCCGCGATATTCTAAGCCGACTTCGAGATAAATGGAAATCTTCCAAGAATATCGCTGGAGAGGCGGCCTATCATCCCTATATAAAGAGACTCAAGGCTCTCACTTTAGGGGGAGGAAGATCGCTCTAGAATCTACACTACACAAAGCTCTTACAGCACAAACACCCTTTTTCTTTTACGATCAAACTCTTGTACGATCAAAGCTATTCTTTTCATTAATAAGTATCAAGAACACCATCTTTGGTTACAATTGTTTCTGTTGTTCTTTGAGAATTCACGATTATCGTATCCCTAAATTTGAACCCTAGACAAATCTTGATTGTGTTAGTTTCGACTTCCACAGTTTGGCGCCGTCTGTGGGGATACTTTAGAATTCTCTTACTCTAAGAACACAGGACTCAACTACCGAAGAAGACGATGAACGAGGACGGTCGTCAGATACCACCACCAGCCGGAGGAGGCAACCCTAATCCTCCGAACCCTCAAACCGATCCAGCAATCTCAGCGACCCTAGCCGAACTGAAGGATATGATGGTTAAATTCCAGAAGAAAGCTGACGACCAAGAGAAAGCTAACAAGACCTTGGCGCTACAAATCGATGAAATCGCATCCCGTGGGCAACACAAAACCACACGTTTCCAGACTCGACCGCCACGAGCCCGGAGGGACTTGCCAGGCCTCAACCCGACGAGACTCACGTTCGCGACGCCAACGGATAACGCCAGAGCTGCAACCCGAGCCGATCCTGCCAGACGCGAGGATCGGGAAGATCCCACCGAGCCAGATGCAGTGGATCCAACAGACGAGCCGGACGATCCACAAAATGAGCGTACCCGAGCTGGAGCCAACTCTGCCGAACGAACCGACCTCACTGATGACGAGGAAACTGAAGAAAACATAAGATGGGCCGAAGAATCCGAAAGAGAAGACGAGCTCAGCGAGATCCGAGCTTCCCTAGCCAAGGCGGAAGCCGATATGAAGCTCGTCAAAACCCAGATACATAGCGTTTCATCCTCCGCGCCTAACATCGACCGAATTTTGGAAGAATCTCGAAACACGCCTTTTACCAAAAGAATTTCCGAGACGACGATGTCCAATCTGGGAAAGTTCAAAATCGACACCTACAACGGGACAACCGACCCGAAGTGTCATATTAAGTCGTTCGTGATATCTGTGGCCCGAGCCAGATTCAAGCCCGGAGAGAAGGATGCCGGTCTATGCCTACTGTTCGTGGAACACCTCAAAGGACCCGCACTGGAGTGGTTCTCAAGGTTGGAACGAAATTCAATTGACAGTTTCGACGAGCTGTCGACACTCTTCCTCAAGCAATACTCTGTGCTCATCGACCCCGGAACCTCCGACGCAGATCTGTGGTCTCTGTCTCAACAGCCCACCGAACCGTTAAGAGATTTCCTCACGACCTTCAAATCGACGCTAGCCAAGGTTGAAGGAATCACCGACGTAGCCGCCCTTTCGGCCCTAAAGAAAGCTCTCTGGTACAAGTCCGAGTTCAGAAAAGAGCTGAACCTATCCAAACCTACGACGATCCGCGACGCGCTGCACCGAGCCTCAGACTTCGTCGCCCATGAAGAAGAGATGGCACTGCTAGCAAAGAGGCACGAGCCGACAAAGCAAACGCCCCGAGCCGAGAAGACTCAAGCAACACCTCCCGTCCAGAAGAAAGCGCGTGAGAGCGGGACGTATACACATCATGAAGGGCGCAATTTTAAGGGAGCTCACAACTACCAGATCGACACTCCTCGTGGCCGAGGTCGCGGCAGAGGCCGAGGTCGTGGGCGAGGAAGAGAAACCTACACTTGGACGAGAGATCAGCCACCGAGCAACGATCAAGAATACTGCGAACACCACAAAATCTTCGGCCACCACACCTCACGATGCCGGAGCCTCGGCGCTAAATTAGCAACGAAATTCTTAGCAGGAGAGCTCGGGACGAACGTCACGCTCAAGGACCTGGAGCCAGAGCCAGATCAGCCCGAGCAGGCCAACACCGCAGGGGACCCCGAGCCAAGGAACACGGACGCCCCGAAGAGAACTCGGGAAAATCAAGACGAAGACCGAGATAACACACGGCAAAAAATCTTCACCATAATGGGTGGATCGCCGTACTGTCCCGATACCGTAGCCGCAATCAAGGCGTATCAACGCCGAGCCGAGGCGCCTAGCAACTGGACGAGACCCTTCGACAGACCTAACGACATAGTCACATTCGAGGAAAGTGAGACGAACGGGCTCGACATGCCTCACAACGATCCCCTCGTCATCACATTAGCAATAGGAGATCATGACGTTTGCCGAATATTGATCGACACCGGTAGCACCATCGACGTGATTTTCCGTGAAACGCTCCGACAAATGAACATTGATATGTCACAGGTAACACAGACCCCGAGGCCTGTCCTCGGATTTTCGGGGGAAACTTTGATGACGCTCGGAACCATTCAATTACCAGTCCGAGCCGGCGGGGTGACAAAGGTGGTCAACTTCTCAGTCACCGATCAACCTACCATTTACAACGTCATAATGGGCACGCCGTGGCTAAATCAGATGCAAGCTGTCGCATCGACCTATCACCTCTGTGTCAAGTTCCCGACCCCTAGTGGCGTGAAAACAATCTGGGGCAGCCAGAAAAATTCACGGATGTGTTACATGGCAGCGCACAAACTCCGAAACCCAGTCACCGAAGCCAAGGCTGAAACCGATCACAAGAAATCGAAACTTGGCCGAAGCGAAGAGAAGGCTATATCTAAACAGTTATAGCAATTACAGATCGAGGAGGCGCGCGAGGAGAAGAAGCCTACCTCGGATCCTGTAATCTCCATTGGCCTCGACGACGAACGGCCTGAACGATACGTGGAAATTGGCAGCGACTTAACCGAGGAAATCAAGACCGAGCTCATCTCGTTCCTTAAAGAGAATATCAACACCTTCGCCTGGTCGGCTGAAGATCTACCTGGGGTAAGCATCGACGTAATCTGCCACGAGCTGAATGTTGACCCGTCTTTCAAGCCCATCAAGCAGAAGCGAAGAAAGTTGGGTCGGGATCGCGCAGATGCCGTAAACGCCGAAGTAGAAAAGCTCCTGAAGATCGGCTCGATCTCCGAAGCAAGATACCCGGACTGGTTGGCGAATCCTGTCGTGGTTAAAAAGAAGAACGGCAAGTGGAGAGTTTGCGTCGACTTCACCGATCTGAACAAAGCTTGCCCTAAAGATAGTTTTCCGCTCCCACACATCGATCGCTTAGTGGAAGCAACCGCGGGGAACAAGTTACTATCGTTCATGGATGCTTTCGCGGGATACAACCAGATTTTCATGCACCCCGATGATCGCGAGAAGACAGCGTTTATCACAGACCGAGGTATTTATTGCTACAAAGTCATGCCTTTCGGGCTCAAAAACGCTGGCGCAACGTATCAACGGCTCGTTAACAGGATGTTCTCCGAGCAGCTCGGGAAAACAATGGAAGTTTACATCGATGACATGCTGGTCAAATCCCTCGAAGAAAACGACCATATAGCTCATCTACGCGACTGCTTTCGGCAACTTAACCAACATAATATGAAGCTCAACCCGGCAAAGTGTCGTTTCGCGGTAAAATCAGGCGAATTTCTGGGATATCTCGTAACTCACCGAGGCATCGAAGCAAATCCGAAGCAAATTGATGCTCTACTGAACATGCCCTCGCCACAAAACAAACGCGAAGTTCAACGTCTCACCGGGAGAGTCGCAGCCCTGAACCGATTCATCTCGCGATCAACAGACAAGTGCCTGGCTTTCTACGATACTCTGCGCGGGAACAAGAAATTCGAGTGGACTGATCGCTGCGAAGAAGCTTTCCAGGAACTGAAGAAGTATTTGGCTAATCCACCAGTGTTGGCGAAACCAGTCCCGGGCGAGCCATTATTCCTGTACATCGCAGTCTCTGATACGGCGATAAGCGGAGTCATAGTCAGGGAAGACAGAGGGGAGCAAAAGCCGATATTTTATGTCTCGCAAACTTTCACCGATGCGGAAACACGCTACCCGCAAACTGAGAAGCTCGCCCTCGCCGTAGTAATGTCGGCTCGGAAGCTACGGCCATATTTCCAGTCTCACTCAATTGTCGTCATGGCGCCCGTATCACTCCGAACCATCCTGCACAGTCCGAGCCAATCGGGACGCCTGGCCAAGTGGGCAGTAGAACTCAGCGAGTATGATATCGAATACAGGAACAAAACATGCGCGAAATGTCAAGTCCTGGCCGATTTTATCATCGAACTGCCAACAGAGAACACCCGAGAAGAGTCACCCGACGCCGTCTGGATCCTCCACGTTGACGGTTCGTCCTCAAAACAAGGTTCTGGCGTCGGAATCCGCTTGGCATCACCAGAAGGTGAAATCCTTGAGCAGTCTTTCCGGCTAAACTTTGACGCAACTAATAACGTGGCGGAATACGAAGCGCTGATAGCCGGACTAAAGCTGGCTCGGGGGCTTAAGATCAACAAGCTACGAGCCTTCTGCGACTCCCAGCTCGTGGCCAACCAATTCAACGGAGAATACGTGGCTCGAGATGAACGAATGGAAGCGTATCTAGCTCTCACACAAGACCTGGCGAAACAGTTCGGAGAGTTCGAGTTAACCAGAATCCCGCGAGGCGAGAACACGTCGGCGGATGCCTTAGCAGCTCTAGCGTCGACTTCCGATCCAAACCTGAAGAGGATCATACCGGTAGAGTTCATCGAAAAGCCAAGCATCGAAGACAGTAGCGAAGATCAAGTACTAACAGCTCGGGAGACGGAAGAACCGGAGGAGATGGACACTGAACTGCCAGACCAACAGACTACAGACACAATTGAGCCCGAGTATGGAAGCGATACCAAATGGATCGGAGCCATCCGGAGTTACATAGCCGATGGGGAAGTCCCTTCTGAAAAATGGGCAGCTCGGAAGCTTAAGGCGAAAGCGGCTCGGTATACCCTGATCGACGGAGAACTCTTTAAATGGCGGTTTTCCGGACCCTTGCTAATCTGCGTCGAAGGAAACGAAGCTCGGAGAGTCATGGAGGAAATACACGGCGGATCTTGTGGGAATCACTCTGGCGGGAGAGCCCTGGCCATAAAAATCAAGCGCCACGGATATTTTTGGCCGACGATGGTCAAAGATTGCGAGAAGTTTTCTCAAAGATGCGACAAATGCCAGAGACACGCACCAACTATCCATCAACCCGCCGAGCTCCTTTCTTCTATCACCTCGCCTTATCCCTTCATGCGCTGGTCCATGGACATTATCGGGCCTCTACACAATTCTAAGCAGAAGAAACTTGTCCTCGTACTAACAGACTACTTCTCCAAATGGATCGAGGCGGACTCCTACGCCACCATCAAAGACGCACAGGTCGAGAACTTCGTCTGGAAGAACATCATATGCCGCCACGGGATACCTTACGAGATCGTTACAGACAATGGCTCGCAATTCATCTCAGCTCGGTTCGAAGGATTCTGCGAGAAATGGGGAATTCGCCTCAGCAAGTCTACGCCTCGGTATCCTCAGGGAAACGGACAGGCAGAAGCAGCAAACAAGACGATTCTCGACGGAATAAAGAAGCGCCTCGATGCGAAGAAAGGCCGCTGGGCCGACGAATTGGAAGGAGTATTATGGTCGCATAGAACAACGCCGCGGCGAGCCACAGGAGAAACACCTTTCGCCCTCGTTTACGGTACGGAATGCGTGATTCCCACCGAAGCCGAGATCCCGGGAATAAGAAGACGTCTGCTTCCCGAGCAGGAAAACTCCAACACTCAGATGATGCTAGACGAGCTGGACTTAATCGACGAGAGAAGAGATTCAGCCTTGGTCCGTATGCAGAACTATCAGAATGCTACAGCTCGGTATTACAATTCACACGTTAAGCAACGCCGCTTCCACGAAGGAGATCTCGTACTACGAAAAGTTTTTCAGAACACTGCCGAGCTAAACGCTGGAAAGCTCGGAGCAAATTGGGAAGGACCTTACACGATCGCGAAGGTCGTACGTCCCGGCGTCTACGAACTCATCAACATGAACGGCAAAGCGGTACCCAGATCCTGGAACGCAATGCATCTCAGGAAGTATTACCGCTAAGAACCTAAGGTACGCATGTACTTGAACTACGGGGTGGCTTGATCCCTGAAAAGGGTACGTAGGCAGCTCGTCTTCGGACGAGTTCAGCTACCCCCCCTAATTAAAAAAGGGGGGAGTGGGTCCGTATACATATACTCCCACTTAAAACTTTTTAAACAAATTTCCTTTAAAGCCTACCTTTTGGATTTTCAATTCTATTCACCTCGACATCAATCCCGAAACTCGCCTCGAAAACTTTTACGGTCATCTTACCGACCTCCAAAGCTAATAGTTCGTTCGGACGATGGCCACGTCCACGAACAGAGAGCTCATTACACCGCTTCGGTTACAGCGCGCTATATAAGCATTCGAGACAATCAGGTTGGATATATCTTGCCAAAAGAAATTGTCTTCAGAAAACCCAGTCGACTTCAACACTGGTACCCCAGTTCGCTTCTAAGCACTGGCATCGACTATATCAGCTCGGGTCGCAACCGATAAAGATTAAGTCTCACATAACCGAAACCCAATAACATTAACATTGGTGTATAGTTCGGCTCGGAAGTTAAAACGTTCGAATCTAACTTCTCAACGAACAAATCATAAACCCAGTTAACTTAACACTGGTAAACGATCTTTTTCGGGCTCGAAAGTTAAAATTATTAGGCAAAACTTTTAAACTTCTCGACTAACAAGTCAGATTTACGAAAACCCGGTTACTAAACACTGGTATCGAACGTAATTCGGGAACATCTCAGGATAAACAAAGATATTAAATCAAAAGCATTCATATCAAGTGGATAAAGCCATCCAGGCATCAAGTTTTACAAAATCTCAAAAGAAAAACAAAAGAGAGAAGGAAAATGCATCGGGACTATTCGTCCTGCTCTTCTGGAGCGCGTGCGGCCTCGGGACCGAGATTCGTCCCCGCCTGGTCAAGAATACCGACTCCCACGGCAACTCCCTCGATAGATCGGTTCCCGAAGCTATCGTCGACAGAATCTGGAGAAGCCGGGGGAAGCTTCAGACCTTCCCGCAGCTCGGTCCCAAGCCTGACAAACTCGTCCTCGGCGTCCCCATACTCTGCTTTCCACTGGAGGATTTCTTCCTTCTCCTCTTCAACTTTCTTGCCACCTTCAAGTTCGGCGATCAGCTCGGCATTGGCCCTCGCCTGCACCAGGAACATGTAGCGTTCGGACGCCTTGCCATATAGCTCCATTTTCGCCTCAATCGCCTCGATCTTCTTGGTGAACTCCTTTTTAGCCGCCTTGCGCTCCCGAGCAACCTCTTTCTCCCGAAGGGACTTCTCCTCGGTGAATAACCGGTTCAGGCGTTCGATTTCAGCCTCGAACTTACTTCGCAAGCGGAGACCGTCCTCGGCCGTTTTCAACCGCTCGACCTTCTCTGCCTTAGCCAGCGCCTCAGCCCCCTGCTTAGCCTCATCCGCCTCAGCAACCCTGGCCGCTGCCTCGGCAACCTTAGCGTTGGCCTCGGCGACCTTAGCATCCGCCTCGGCGACCTTAGCGTTGGCCTCGGCAATTTTGGCATCTGCCTCAGCTCGGGAAATCTCGCATTTCCGGTTCGCAGAGTCGTAGGATCGAACCATGGAATTCATCGAGTTGAAAGCCTGGAATGTAAAAAGCGGGGAGTCGGTGGAAAAATACAAAAAAAAAAGCGATACATTTTCCCGCAGCGGTTTCGCGGTACATCTCGGCCTCCAGCAAGGCCTCGGGCGCAGCTAGGGTCGGACCCGAGCAAGAAGCGATAAGATTGGCAGAGGCCATCTTATCCTTGTAGATGGGAGCCTCATTGCGACTCCTCTTCTCCTTCCTACGGCCTCCCGAGCTATCGCCTCGGGGCCTCTTACCTTTCGCCTTAGCCTTCGCCTCGGCACTTAGAGCAACAACAACCGAGGTCCCTGCCGCCTCGGGTACTTCTGTCGACAAAGCGTCGACAGAGACCTCAGTCCCAGTCAGAGCCGTGCTTTCCCGAGCTTCATCAATCGCCTCGGTACCAACAGCGACCTCGGCGTCGTTCACGACTTCGGAGGAGTAGGCGGTCTAAAGTTCGCCTCCAGTATCGCTCTTTCCCGAGCCGCCTTCCTCTCAGCGGCCTTCTTCGCTCTCAAAGATTGTGCGGCACCCTGCATCTCGATAAGGTGATCTAGTTGATGATCAGATGACTCTGAAGAGGATTGGCAAGGAGCTCCGTGCAACAAACGTAAGGCCCTCTCGATTCTACCTCGGGAAAAATGCTTCGTCCAATCGCACTTCCGAGCTATCAGTTCGTCGTGAAGATCTAGAAAGCCCTCGGGAATGTCTTCTAAGAACGACGGGTTCCGGTCTGCATAAACAAAGAAAACGATCAATAAAAAGTTTAGAATAAGACAAAGTAGCGAGCACGACTTCTGGTATAATACCAATTGTTCTCCACTTCCCAACAACTCTCCCCAAGTAATCCTCGTGGATACTGTAATCGTTCAAAGCTACGAAGAAGAAGTGGTCAGTATACTTCTCATCCTTGCTCGGAAATCCGCCGATAACCCTCCTATTCGGCCTCGGAGAAATGTAAAACCTCTCAACAGGACCCGGTATGCGCCGGATTTCTAGCAGATGCCTTAGGTGGCTAAGGTCAACAAAGTTTACCGTCTCGATACTTCGGACCAGAATCCCTATAAGATGGCGCAGGCCTCGGGTTGTGATTTGAGACAAAGCGATCTTATACGACCATAGAAACGCCAATATAGGCCTCGGAATCGGAAGCCAGAGGTAGCAGTGATAAAAGAACCCCTCATAAAGAGTGAAAAACCCCTCGGGCGGATCATCTGCTCGCTCGTTCGGAGTAGGAAGTCTCAGTTCAACCCCCTCGCTAAAGCCAAATCGGGCCTTGAGATCCCGAAGGGAATCCTCCGTGCATAAGGTGGAACCTGGGGGATCGGGTTTCCTCGCTTTCTTGGCTCGTCCTCTTTTCCGTTGACCCTTGGCTGCTTGAACTTTAGATTGAAGCAACCTGGCCGCCTCGTCAGAATCATAGTGAACCTCCTCGGCCTTAATAGAAAGTGGGGGCGCCTCAGGTGCACTTTGCCAGCACGAGACTCCAGCCTCACCAGCTGCCGGTGGACGGACCCCCCTCCTACTTAACATCGCCTCGGGATCGTCGGGCAAATCCTGATCCCGAGCCACATCCGCAATCGCGTCTTCCCGAGCGATGAAACGACTCGGGTCATCTTCCCGTGAGGTCGACTCTGCATCACTACCGCGGTACAGCTCGATCTGACGATCCGTGGTGTCCGCCTCGGGGTCACTCGAAGAACTCCAGACCATTTTTCTCTTGTAGACAGGGATAAGGGTGTTGCCTCGGGACGAACCACTGGAATCAGAGAGAGACATTTTCCGGCTCGGGCAATTAAAGAAATCGATCGGAACAACAAACTTGGCAGATCGGAAAAATCAACCTAGATATAATAACGGTGGCACTACGGCGGGAGTACAAAGGAAAAAGTATAAAATGAAAGAGCTCAAGATCAGAGAGAAGGGAACGAACCTTGAAAATTTTCCTTTGCAGTTGCGAAATGAGAGAACGAGTCAGGAACCTAACATTTATAGGGAACTAAGGCGCGTCGGGTACATACGAGCCGAATAAAACGTATCGTGTCCGCATCTAAGGCGCGTCGGGCACGCGCAAATCGAATAAAGTACATCACATCCGCATGAATCTCGGGAATCGGCGAAGGACCTTTTCACTTCTCGAGAAGGAATCCCAACCGTCACACGCCAAGAGAAGATGAAACGACAGGAATTCGAATCGCCAAAAACTTTAAAGGGATTGAACTGACCGAAGTAAACGGCTCGGCCCAACTGTCATAAAGCTCGTCACACTTGGTTCTCCAAACTAACGAGCTGGGGGGCTAACTGTTGGGGTCGGATTCCACCCTTTGGCGCCGAGCCAGACTTAGAGCACCTCGGGGACGTTTCAGAGATCACCTCGGGGCATCACATCATCCACCTCGGGTTATCCATCTAATCAGTTTAGGGTACCCGAGCCCGTCGCCTCGGGGGTACCCGGGCCCGTCGCCTCGGGGGTACCCGAGCTCAGTCACCTCGGGGTACCCGACCCTAGTCGTCTCAGGTACCCGAGCCGATCTCCTCGGCGCCTCGTCATCCTGCCCCGAGCCAAACACACCGATCGTCACCAGGCAGCCTCCAAGCCACCCGAGGCAAAGTCATCAGTCACCCCGAAGTGAAGTTCACAATCACCCGAGGTGGAAGTCCTCTTCATCACCCGAAGTAAAGACTTAGTGAATAAATACCGCTGAAGTATCTTAACAGCATTTCCGGAAAAGAAGGATCATTTCCGATATACCCGGAAATGATAAAGGAGAATCTTCGAAGATCGACTCAAATCAGGAAATCTTCCGAAAAGCTCCGAAGAATAAGGAAAGTATCCTCATCCGCGATATTCTAAGCCGACTTCGAGATAAATGGAAATCTTCCAAGAATATCGCTGGAGAGGCGGCCTATCATCCCTATATAAAGAGACTCAAGGCTCTCACTTTAGGGGGAGGAAGATCGCTCTAGAATCTACACTACACAAAGCTCTTACAGCACAAACACCCTTTTTTCTTTTACGATCAAACTCTTGTACGATCAAAGCTATTCTTTTCATTAATAAGTATCAAGAACACCATCTTTGGTTACAATTGTTTCTGTTGTTCTTTGAGAATTCACGATTATCGTATCCCTAAATTTGAACCCTAGACAAATCTTGATTGTGTTAGTTTCGACTTCCACATACATGACCTTATCGCGAACACACGAATTTTTGTTCGATGTAGCTTTGCCTTTACATTCACTTTCTGCCTACCGTCCCGCTTGTTACATGGATCACTAAAATTATATGTTCTAAGGTTATATATGAATGATTCTTTTTGTTATTTGATGTTTCCGCCTTTGAGGTCTAAAAAGAATTCTTCAACATAAAATCTGAATTATAACCGTTGAATTTCAATCTAATTATGGAATGGTTAATTTGCTTTCTCCACGCACTATGAAAAAAAGTTCAATATTTCTTTCACTTTTAATGTTTATTACAAGCCTATAAATATTCAATCTCTAATGTTTAGTAACAATTCTTACGATGCCAAACTAAGTAAAAGTGTTAAAGATATATAAAATATAAATACTCATACATAGCATGATACTGATAGCACCAAGATTCACCTAGATAATCAATTATGTAATTGCACTATACATGTCAATCTATAGTTAATGACAGGAGCATGAGACTACGTACTAAAATATTGTTACCAACGTAACTTATATACGAAAAAAATACACATTAATATTAAATATGTTTCATAAATTTCAGTCGCAATAATCAAACATTATTGTTTCTTTTATAATTTTAATCTATAAAATAAAAAGATAGAACGCATTGCTAATGTAATGAATCAAATGAAATCGGAAGAAACAAAAAATAACATTTTCAAAGGAAAAAGAATTTCAAACAATAAATTGATTATAGCGATCACATATAATAAAGTAATGATGGTTAGTATTTGGGAGTGGCGGGAGCAGGCTTGGAACCAGTGAAGTAGAAAGGACCGACGTTGAAGAGTTTCAAGTTCTTGTCGGAGAACATCGATAAGAGAACTCCGGTGAGACCCTTGTTGACATTGGTCGGGTTCTTGCAAGTCTCGACTGGAGATGTGTAGAGTTTGACACGGCAGTGAGATAGGTTCTTGATATGGGTTAACGCCACGTGGAAATATCCCTTAGAGTCAGTTGGATTGCTGTAGATCACAACCTCGTTCTTGTTCTTCCCGTATGATACCATCTCGGAGCACACAATCTTTGCTTTTGCTCCTGCATGAAATTAATCAACCAAATTTTCTAGTTAGAAATTTGTAATTTCCATTATCCATTCGGTACAAATCTTTTTAAGAGGGATGATTTATGTCGTAGTATTATTAACCGCGTAATCCCCGAATTTCAAGGTTATAAAACCAAAAATATTGTTATAAAAGATTTTTAATCATGAAGTCTATATTAGTATGTATTTATATACCTTGAATTGGGTAGGTTTCGTAGCCGTTTTTGCATAAGATGATGCCATCAACGGCTTTAATGATCTCAGGGACGTATGGTTTGGTGGGTGGAGTGTAGGTTGGTTTTGGTACATATGGAGGTGGAAGAGAAAAGCTTGGAGACTTTTTGTAGACTGGAGGATGGAGAGTTGGCTTAGTGTAAACCGGAGGAGAGAGTGTAGGCTTGTAAACCGGAGGTGAGAGAGTTGGCTTAGTGAAAACCGGCGGTGAGAGAGTTGGCTTAGTGTAAACTGGAGGAGAGAGTGTAGGCTTGTAAACCGGAGGTGAGAGAGTTGGCTTAGTGTAAACAGGAGGTGAAAGTGTAGGCTTGTAAACCAGTGGAGTGTAGACAGGAGCTGGTAGAGTTGGCTTAGTATAAACCGGTGGAGTGTAAGCCGGAGGAGGTAGAGTTGGCTTTGTGTAAACCGGAGGTGAGAGTGTAGGCTTGTGGGCAGGTGGAGAGTAAACCGGAGGTGGGAGGGTAGGTTTGTGAACCGGTGGAGTGTAAACCGGAGGTGGAAGCTTGGGTTTATTAACCGGTGAAGTGTAAACCGGAGGAGATGAGGGAGCGTAATAATCAGCAGTGGCAATGGTGGCCAAAGAGAGGAGTAGGCAAATCACAAAGGAGTTGCGTGTAATCGCCATTGCAAAGCGTGTGGTTTGTGTTTTGCCTTTTAACTAATTCGTTTTTTTTTGTGTTCTTTGTGTTTGTAAGTGGGATGAGGAACACGATTTCATCAAATGGGGTTCTATAAGAACATGTTAGGGTATTCAAAATTTTGATAAAAAATAGAAAATATTTTCTTTAAAGGTGACTAATTTTGGTTAGTCATGTTTGGGACTGTAATAGTGTAATGCACGATTAAAAGACATCTTGCCCATTAACAACCATGCATGCACACGGCGCCGACCAAAGGATCGGAGAACTCTGGTTGGAAAATTTGGTCGGCCAATTAATTAATTAATATGGGCAGAAAAACTATCAAGCACATTTCGTTCATCTGTTGCGTAAATGAAAGTGCCTGTCCAATCTTTCCAAATTTTCTTGGATGTCCTACACACAACTAAAATATCAAGCTTTTTGGTTAATGTAAATATCTTTTTTTGAAATGTACTCCTAAAAATAGTGATTAATAATATGAGATCCTAAGTAATAGCTTCTTGTGTTTATACTCCTGACCGGTCCAGAGTAAATCCTACTAATATAATTTTCTGCATTTGAATTGACAAAAACTTGTATGTATATGCATCCCTTTTTTAAGATTGACCATCCCCATTTTAGTAACTAATTTTACGCGTAGATCCCTTTATTTTTCAACTTTTCACAGAAAACACATCACTTTTATATATTATATACAGTTCCTATTATCCAAAATCATGGGACTCATATTATAAGACAGACTTAAGACAAATGCTCACTCATAATATAAGACCGAAGACAAAGGCTCTTCGTTATATCAATTCGAACGAAAAGATTAAAATAATTTACTTCATCTTTCTTGCATATGTTGGGCAAAATTCCACATAGTTTTTCTGTTTTGAAAAATAACATCCATGGAGCATGCTATTTGATTAACAATTAACACTTGTCAAGAAATTTTCTACAATGTTTTTTTTTTGTGCAAAATTTCTACAAGATTATCTCATACGAAAACAACATTCTTCAATCCATATTTGTTAACGACAATACCAAAAATATCTGATTGTTAGCTATGACTCCTTAGGACATTATCCATTTAACTAACTTTTTGTAATATATAAAGAACCATTTAACCAACTTAACCATTAAACTATGACCGAAGTACTTTATTGGTACACACTTTCATATCTCCTACATTAAACCAATATATACCCATTAAATCAATTTATGTCATACTTTCATAAGAAATAAAGTGTACTAATAAAAAACCTTAAATATTTAATTTATGAACCAATGTTATCCATGTTCCAACTGATTCGACCATATATATCCAAAGTATTGGCTAGAAGATTCAACAACGTATCGTAATGCGGAGTGTGAAACAATGGGGTCGAATACAGAGTTTGAATACTTTTAATCAATTGGGATATGCCACTATAGCTATGCAAGACTATAACCATTAACAGGAGAATCCTCAATGATCAAAGCGGTTGTAAACTCTTTGAAACTGAATGGAACTCGCGGAAGTCGATACTGGTTATTTGTTTTCGGATCCCACACGGAGTAGGCTGTTGGATGACGGCCAATGAGTACAAAACCTTTCGAAGCATCAATGTAGTAGTATTCAAATTTCTCCAGAAGAAGTTCAATATTGATACTAAGGCTGCTGGTTCAGAGTAAAGGACACGAAGTTTTAGAGGATTGACTAGAAGATTTGCAGCTTTGAAGAAAGTTTATGCTAAAGTAAAAGAAACCGATGAGATAAAAGCTTGGTTTTCATTTCCTTATGTAAGATTTGCGGAATAAAGGATTGGATTGGATATAATCTGAAGCCATCTCTTGGATACCAGAATCAACTTGAAGATTGTTTCAGGTGGTAATAGCAGAAAAATCTCACACATTGTGTGGTCGCTGGTGAGAATTTCCGAGCACTCGAATCAGACGTCAAAACGCATCGTGCTACATTAATGCTCTCTTTCTCATCATGAGCTCCATGATAGCTCGACCGTCTCTCATTAACATCCAGTTTTTCCCCATGAGGTTCTTGATCTCTATCTGTTGCTTTTATCTGCGCAGGCTCTTCTTCAGTAGCCATGGTTTCTGTCTCACTTGGATTTTCTTCAGTTTTCTCCTCTCCCTCTGCATTCTTGTCCTCTATTTCATCATTATCACCATTAGTGGCAGTAGTAGCATCCATGGGTTCTTCCATGGCTGGCTCTTTTGAGAGGTTTACACGTTGAGGAGAAGCATCACATTGTGACTCAGATGCTTTTGATTTCTTCGTCGCAGGTGGTACAATCTCGGTACTGGTTTCTCCTTGAGCCATACCCTCTTGCTACGACCTTAAAGGAAAACAAGACAATTTTCATAAACAACATTGTATATGATAAAATGGATATGTGTTATCAATTCATAATTCTGTTTATGTTAATAATTATTAAAACTTAAAATTTGTAAGAGTATTTTAATTCATGTAAATATAAGTTCAAACTAAATATATATGTAATGTAGCAACTCATAAACAACATCTCTTTTAACTCTTACCATAATTATTTTGCAGACAAAAAATAGAATTTTTATGGGAAAGAACATACAAGCGTGCAAGTCTATTTGAAGATAAAGTATTTGAAACAATTTATTACAATGCAAGAATGTACATTGTATATATTAGAATTTATAACTTTTTGTATAGTATAAAGGCATGAATATTTATAGTTACTTTAGATAGAAAATACATCATCTATGTTAAGAGTTTTGAATTTAAAATTGAATCTGAATTTTGTTATAATTTTGACAATATCTTAATCAAAACCTGAAAAACTCGAACAAAAAGATAAATCGAATGTGCTAACCTAAATTTTTATATTTGATATAACACAACTTCTAATGGTAACGAAACTCATTTGCCTAATCTCAACTAAATGTTGAATAAAGTTTCTATCGCAAAAACTTAATTCTCGAAAAGAAAATCGCAAACTAGAATTTGAAAAACATAAAACATAAAACATAAATTAATTTTTTTTTTTGTAGAATTTATGTTTTAATATAAAAATTTGTTTGAAATTAAGTTGATTTTATTAATATAAGGATTTATTTTACCATTTTAAAAGGTGGGGGAACCCACACAAAAAGTTGAGTTTATTAGTAGCATGGTTTGTTTTACAATTTTAGGAGGTGGGGGTCTAAAACCCACAAAAAAGTTGAGGGTTTTTAATATGATTTTAGGCATGGTGAGAGTTTTTCTACCAATTTTTTCATTTTTCTTACTTTTTGTAAATACTTTTCCTAAATGTTATATCATTTTTCCTTTATCTTTAAAAATATATTCTTTTTTTTTCAGTTTTCTTCTTGCATTAATTTAAAGTCATTTTTTTTTATTTTCTACTAAGTCTAGTTTTTTTTTTTGAAAAATCGAAAATCAGATTATAAAAGTTAATATGATATATTATGATATTTTTGTGATAATATCATATTTTAAATAACAATAAAATAGTTAATTTAATTTATGGCCCAAAAATGTAAAAATATTTTCTAGGTCCACAGCTGATTTCTACTCGAATCCCCAAGTTACTTACACATAAAACATTAGTTAATGCTTTTGCGGGATTTTTTCATAACTAAAGGATATAATTTAGATCAAGCTAAGGTATTTGTTGCTATTAATGACTTGTGATATTCAATCCAATATTCAAAAGATGTAATTTGTGACTTGTATAACAATACTATAAAGTACATCATTAACATATTGTAATTTTATCTCTTATCCAACTGTTCTGAAGGTGGGGACTAAAAAGTATATATGTGACCAACTTTATAGTATTTTTATAAACTTCTTAAAGCTAGCATTAATGAAATATATGTTGGTAGATGTGAATCATATATATGAAAGGAGGTTATCTTTCTCCATATGATTGACACGTCAGCACCTAATAGTTTGCCACGTGTAACTGAGAAAATAAAAAATAATTAATCATATAATGAAAAAAGAAATTATCCACATTAAATCTCATCTCCACGATTATGCATTTACGAATTACTTATGTATAATATATGGCCTTTTCAAAAACCCAAATTGATATTTCTTAAACAAACTCCTTAAGAGCATAACGTATATCTGTTATTGTTGTAAAAGTTGAGAAAATGAAAGCTTTTCATGATCTTTACGAGTTGTATTGGGTGATTACCAGATGGCATACACATGTAACGTTTTGGATTTTATATACCACATATTATTAATTTCCACTAAAAAAAATTAAAGAATTTTTCAAACTTCTACTCATACCCACTTGAATGTTATATAACGTAAATATATAATTAGCTCCCATATAAATAGTGGTCACACACACATTCACTACCCATAAAGGTAGACTTACGTAAGAGTAACCGGAAAAGAAAGTCTTACTTTTCAATCTCTTCTAAATTATTTCTTGGGACTATAAACTCCAAAAACTAAATGATTACAACTAATTTTTCCATAAGAATAAACTAACATCATATTTTTACTTTTTCAGATTGCAAGATCAGAATTAATTACAATCACTATGGCACTGAAACAAATAACAACTCTTGTAAGACCACTTGAATCTATAGTTCTAGACAAGCTTACAATCGGAACATCTATGCAACATATAAATGTCCGTCTTATGCCAATGTGGGAAGCTCACAATTTCAAACAAAACAAAGAGCTTATGAATCTACACTCCCGCAATTTCAAACAAAACAACGAGCTTATAAAGGTACATTATGCTTAATTTGTCAACATATGATAACTTATTTATAAATCATCTTTTCACAATTCATTGACTACCCCCACAACATCCACTATTATAACCTTCAATACACTATCAACGCATCTATCGATTAAAAGATCTCCTTATGGTAGGAAAAATTGACACGATAAGCAATTTTGAAGTCATCTCTACCTGTGAGCGTTATAGGGTAATAGACAATAACAACTCAATACGATTCACCGAGAATATAGAAATTGCTGAAGAAGAAGAAACTACGTGTCTTATTAAGATGTAGTACTTTAGGATGTTAACAACTTCAACTATCACTTGAAGTGGAAAATAAAAATAAAAATGGAGTACGGAAGGTAAAGATAAATTAAAATTGGATGGTCATAGTCCTCAACAACCAATCAAATAGTTTTCCATTAAAATTTTCAGTTTATTGCTATTTGCTTCTTTTTTTAATAAAATGTTGTTACAAAAAAAAGAATTGTTTTATTACAAGAAGGAGAGTTTCCCTTCAAATAATATCGGGAAGTATGATGTTAGTTTATTACAATAATAATCAAAAGAAAAATCATTCTAACATTAGGAATATACATCAATGATAAATTTTTAAAACAATAACAAAAGGACCACTCAAAGAGGCAACAATCTAATGCAATAAATCATATATATGAATAATAAAAAATTAGACCAAAATCTTACTTATTAATTAACAAATAAGATTCAAAATTCGGAACATAATTTAAAATATTTTATCACTTTATACTAATTGTTTAAAAAATAATCAAATCAAAATCTCGCACGTAGTGCGAGCAATCACCTAGTATAGAATGATAAAGGTTTGGATGGTATATTTATATTACCTAGAACTTGACCATTTTTCTTTACAATTTTTTGTAAAAATTTGATAAGTATAAATCGACATACATTCTTTAGAAAAAGTAATATTTAGTTATATTATCAGAATATCAGGAAAATCTAGTATTTAATGTAGATACTCTAAGTTTGATTGGAAAATAGAGATTTCTTAGTAGGTTGTTGATGATATATTTTGATAATTGGTTTCGAGTCTTGAAAGGGGTTTACAATGTGTTTCAGCCTTTAGCAGCACCGGCCGTTTCATGGACGATCTTACAGAAGTGGACGATTATACGACATCGAACACTTCAAGACTATCAGCGAATGCATCATCTCCCAGGTTTGCACTCTACAAGATAGCTAGGATATCTCCTCTCGTGTTAACCTACTATAGACTCTGTCTTGGTAATGAAAATTATAATGTTAGTCTCCATTTTTCTGAGATAATCATTACCGAAGACAGCTCATTCTACAGTTTTGGTAAGCGTGTGTTCGAAAGCCCATTCTATGTTCAGGTTCTTCAAAACCCTTATGTTAATGTAAGTTATTAACGATTGAATTCATTACTTACTTATATTCTCACAGGAGAGGTTGGTAGTTAAAAATTTCAACATTAAAGAAGCAGCTGGTAGATTGGGTAAGCCGATCATAAAGACAGTTGTGGTACATGTAAACCGATTATAAAGTTTTTGGTACCCCCAAGTTATGTTGCATATACTGGCCATTATGATAACTAATTTAATAGCATTCAACTTCATTATAACCTTCATTTAGGAATAAAATTCTCTTAAACCATATCAACACCAAATTTCTACTCGTTTTTATGTCCCAACACACCTATTTCTCCACTTTTTTTGGTTTCTAAGGATGAATGTCACAATAGTAACAATTTTTGCTGTCACTCTGACTAATAAACTAAGAACAAAAAAATCTAACAAAAATAAGAAAAAAATAAGCAAAACATAAGCATAATATTATATAAGCAACAATTAAAAGAAAGAAGAAAAGTAGAAGTTATAGAATATATTTGAGATATTAAACAAAAAAAAAGTAAACAAAAAATGGATATTTTTTAAAAATAAGATGTTATGGTAATTATTTAAAATATTGATAAAATATGTATCCTTAGGAAAAATATTTACTTACTAAATAGCTTTTTGTATATAACTTATAAATATAAGTATGTGAATAACGCTAATTAAAATAGATATTAGTATATTTGATACATCCATATAAAAAATATTTTCCTACTAAATATGTCTAGTTCCCTTTAGTTCTTTCTTTTAGGGATCTTATTTCGTAAATTTTTACCATTGCCTTTTAGAATTAGGAATCCAATCATCCATCATTTCATTCCTTGTGTCATTAGTTACATGACAACCTTTTCGGAAATTATACCTTTTCGATTTTGGTATATTTCATTGGGTTTGTGTTTAGCAGCCGAAGGTTGAAATTATATCCAACAATTGCCAACGGATTTAGTTAAAACTAAAGTTGTGTATTTTATAATATAAAAGTCTAATTCATATGAGAGTTAATTTTTTTTATATATATTACAGCTCTGTTTTTTGTTGTTTAACTTCCTTTCCACTTTAGTTTCAATATGTACATAAACATTTTGTATTGTTGGATAACTTGAACATATTAACAATATGTCGGTCTCTTTAACTGTGTAGTGTTTATTATCAAAATTTCCAAAAGAATTAAGAGAAAAGATCGTTGAAATGAGGATAGAGAGACAAAATCACGTGTGCCTTTAGATATCTGCGGCGAGAAGTTCCAAATAATCCTTGACTGTTTGATTTCGTTTTGTATGAAATGAATTAGAAATAAAATAAGTGAACTTTCAAAATAATCACAACATGAATGGACTAAAAGATAAATTATTTGATAATTAATAGCATTACATTTTCATATAATGGTAAATATTATTATTTGAGAATAAAATAAGTAAAGTAAATTATCATTTGAGTTTACGAATATTGCCTTTGTTTTTTGAAAGAAAAATATCATTAATATAAGGGGCGTATTTCGATTAAAAATTAGAGATGTTGGTATGGATGATTTAGAAAGGCATAGAACTCTCCACT